TTCTGTCCACAGCTGCCCTTGCGGCCCGCGCTGGATCTGGCACGAATAGCAGCTCTTACAGCGTTTTAGAAAATAAATAACGAAACGAAATGGAGCATGGGCTCCACCCATCTTCCCTCTTCCTCATCAAGTCCTTGGCCTCCTGTGAAACCGAGAGAACAAATCACTGGCTAGTCAAATGCACACCAGTCACCCTCAGACATGACTTCCGACGCCGTCAGCCACAGGAGGTGACGGTTTACTGCGGTACTTTTAGGAGTGTGGGAAACGCGGATAACATTCAGGTGGATCGATGCTAAGTGATTTTTAAGGGCAACTTGAATTGTTTTTCAACACATGGGGTTAACTCTACAATGTCAGGATGCTTACCCATGCCTGGAGCTGTCGACTGCTAGGCTGTTTCCATGTCATATATTATTCTGTTACAGTACTTCCCGGGGGGGCCATGCTGGAGGTGAGCACTCTCTCTCTCCACCTCGGGGATGAAAAGGTGAAAGCTCTGTGTTCTCCTCACTCTGGGGGAGCTTCCTATTGCAGGAGGCGGAGCCATCGGTAAAAGCAAAAGGGAAAGGAAGCTTTCCAGGCCCTACCCGCCCAGATAGAGGCGGAGGTAGGAATTGAGATGTTCCTCCTGAAGTCTCGGGAGAGGGTGGCTCAGCTCCGTGGAGTGCGTTGGGACTGGTCTTTCCAAATCCTTCTCGCTCACTCCTCAAAGAAATGGGAGAAACCCTGTTTCTTCTTGTACCTTCAAAGGTCAGATCTAAAACGTTCCATCATAGTTTTAGATAATGGCAAAGCTTGTTATTTCTGGCACATTACAAGTATTGGCATTTTAAAATAAGATTCTTACATCATTTTCTAAGTGTATCCAAGGGAATCTAAATATCATAATGCATCTATCATCTATTTAAAAAAATACATGAACAAGCTTTTCTTTAAAAGAAATTTTACCTCATTCTTTTTCCCCTTATCTTGCCCCTGAACATTTTAATATAAGACTTTAGGCTGGAAAGTTTTATTGATCAGCCTATCATATTTCCCTACAAAAAAATAAAATTTTTAAACTCATCCTTATTTTATTATTGATACAATTTTGAATACTTAATTGCTTTAAACAACATAAAATATTACAAATTTTGATAAACTATTAAAATTAAAGCATATATATTTTTAATCTTCATCAGAGGATATGTTTATTGATTTTTAGAGAGAGAGAGGAAGTTTTTAATCCTCATCAGAGGATGTGTTTATTGATTTAGAGACACTGAGAGAGAGAGAGATAGAGAGAGAGAAAAAGAAGAACAGATAAATATCGATGTGAGAGAGAAACATCGATATGTTGCCTCCCATATGCGCCCCTATCCGGGATTGAATCCACAACTTAGGTATGTACCCTGACCACGACTTGAACCTGAAAGCTATTGGTGAATGGGATGACGCTCCCAACAACTGACCCCCCTCCCCGGCCAGGGAAAATCTATGATGGAATGAGTTTAAGGGAGGATGGGAGAACCTCTCACTCAAAAGCCTAAAATATGCCACATGTAACCTTGTGTGTTATTATGATTTGATTATATGTGTATGTAGTTTTACTGCATTTGGCATGTTTATAAACTTGATATAAATGTATCATATGGCATGTATTCTGCTGCTACAGAATGGGAGAAGTAGAGACAGAAAGAATAGAAAATTTTAGAAGCTTTGTTGCAAAGGAAGCAGAGAAATGGGGCAGTAGCTGACAGTGGAAGTGAAGATTTTGTAAGCTGGAGAAATAACAGCTACTGTAAGCTTATGGGGGTGACCCCAGAAGAGAGGGGAACATGGATAACATAGAAGAGAGGGTACTGACAGAGTGAAGGTGATGATCTTGATTAGGCAAGGCAAGATTGGGATCTATTGCCTTGGCCGAGGGACTGGCTTTAGCGAGGAGCTTGGAAAATTCACCTTGTACTGGAGGGAAAGGTGAAGAAGAGGTTCTAATGCTGGTTTGTGACTATGGGTAGATGAGGTGGTGGGAAAACTGTGGAAGTTTTCATCTCATGGCTTCAATTTTCTCCATGAAATAAAAAGCAAGGTCATTAACTGAAAATGATGATTGAGGGAAAGAGGTGTAGGTTAGAGGACAGAAAAAGTATGAAATCCAGAAGAATGGTGGAGGGAAGTAGGATTCATGGGCGGCGCTAAGGGCCCACTTGAAGTTCCCACTGATGAAATGAAAGTGAAACTGGTCAGTGTGACTGTTTTTCTGTAGCCACATTCAGGTGCATGGGTGCTGGCACGGAGTAGGTGGAGAGCTGGCTTGAATCCAGGACTGTGGTTTTGCCCAGCAAGCAGGAAAAGGGGGGAGGCGAGTCTGGGGGTTGAGAGTGTGTGCCCGGAAATGATGGTAATAATTGGCTGTGGTAAGAATGGGAGAAAGTGGATGTGTGGATTGAAGAATTGTTGGAGTTAGAGTGCTATAGGGAAATGAGGAAAAATGAGGTGGTGTTCAGAGTGTGATATGTTTGAAATTGTGAGTATGAAGAAGTTGCAGAGTTTGATAAGGTTCCTGTGATTATACTCATGGGAGCAAGTGGCTGAGTTAGGGTAGGACAAGATTCTTGGAGGAGAAGTCAAGGTACTGCGAGGTCAAGGTAATGAGAAAACCATCTTAGTATAGTATATTATAACCACCGAGAGTTGAGACAGAAGTGGCATTGGAGTGACTGACAGGAGCACATGGTGAAAAATTGAAGGGGAATGAGAATAAGATGAGGAGTACTGGGTAACAAGATTTAAAACTGCAGGTTAATAGAGAGGAGAGAGGGGGTGGTCTGGAAGCTTGCTGAGGAATAAGGACACCTACCTCACCTCCAGGCACAGGCTAAGGTGCTTATGGTTGAAAATACAGTTGCTACTACTTGAGAGGGAGAAGGCGAAGCAGTGTCCCAGGGGTAAGTCAGGTTTCCTTTAGCAAGAAGGTGAAGGGAACCTGAAGAAAAGTTCTGAGGTTAAGCTTATAGGAATTGTCATTTGCATAAATAGGTGTGGTGGATAGACTCTCATGTGGCCCCTATGATCCTCACCTCCTGGTGTTCATGCCCTTGTGTAGTTTTTCTTGAATGGGGATGGGACTTGGGATTTGCTTCTGGCCAATCAAGTAATGGCAAAGGTGTCAGGATATATGTGATCACGTGTATGTGATGATGTTACATAAGGTTGTAACCAATGTCTTACACCAAAACTGTCCCCCTTGCTGGCTTTGAAGACGCCAGCTGCCATATTGTAAGCTTCCCCATGGAGAGGGTCACATGTCCCAGAACTGGGGGAGCCCACAGCCAGCTAGGGACTAAGGCCCTCGGGTCCTGCAGCCTGCAGGGAACTGAATGCCGCCAACAAGGTGAACTTGGAAGCGGATGGTTTCCCAGTTGAGCATCACGATGTGGTCTTGCAGGGGACCCAGAAAGCCATGTGTGGACTCCGGACCCACAGACACTGTGAGCCGATACATTGGTGTTGTTTTAAGCTGCTGTGCTATACAGCAAGGTTAACTAATACAACAAGGTTAACCAATACAACAAGGTTAACTAGTACAGATGGGAATGGAAGTTTAGTTATAGCAATGTTATTCGATTATTTTAACCCCAACCGAGGTGTATTGTCTAAGAATCCCATGTTGATCTATTATTTATTTTGTTGATAACAAAGAAGTGAGACTTACAAGCGAATTTATGGCCCTTTTATTCGGGTAGCTTACTTTCTCAGCACAGACACCAGCTCCTGAACTGTCCCTGTGAACTAGCCTGGAGGTCTTTACCTGTTGGGTCAAGGTACCTTCGTAATGGGTGAGGCTTTTGACTTTTTTCTAAGGTGGGAGAAAGACAGTTTTAAAAGGGGCTGCTATGTCTTCAGGTGCTTTCTGAAGCTGAGAAATTTCAGAAGATAGTACAGATATCAGAAGAAGATCTGGAAATGAATTCCCTTAAAACTAGTCTTGGAAAGTCTTCACACCCCCAGGGGTAAGGGGACACTGGTGAAGAGGACAGTTTTAGAGGCTTTCTGGTAGAAACCGGAGGCGCTCAGGCCATGATGGCAAGAACAGCATGGGGCTAAGGGGTGGGCACTGTGTGAAAGGCAGGAGGGGGACTAGAGAGTTTCAGGGCCATCTGACTTAATAGATGACTTTATTATTTTTCAGCAATGGATGCTTCTACTTTTTCCAATTACAAGTATTGGATTCTGCAAGAACATAGTTAAAACTATTTGGTGAGGGATATAAATTTTACACATGGGACTAGATAAGAAAATTCAATTTTTGGCCCTCTGATATTAAAGTTTATATGAACACATGAAGCTTGAAACTTAAAAAAAAATTCTAAATGTAAAAAATTAGTTAAGTATTCATGGATATGTCTATATCCTTTATCATAAGCACTATATAATTAAGAATTCAACTACTTTTGAGTCTGCAAGTCAGATCCTGTCAAGTAACCTGCCATGTATGATCCAATCCTTTTAAAATTTTAAAGACAAATAGATTCAATAAATTTAATCTTCCACATGTTCTCAGAAGGAATTCTCAGAAGCATCCTTCAGTAATAAAACACAGTTGGATAATTCATTTACCCCAAATGAACTAGCTGTGCATGCTGTGAGGTAGCAATGAAAGACTAAGATCTTCTGTAAAAATGGTACCCTCAATGCATAAGCATTCTCTCTCCACACGAAGAGAGGGAGTAACAAAGGAAAGAGAGTCATCTTTCATTATTTCATCAACTATTGGCATTTTCAAAGTTTTTTTTTTTTTTTGCTCTGTGCTGGGCTTTTTTTTTTTTTAAATTAAATCTTTACTGTTAAAAGTATTACATATGTCCCCCATCCCCCCCATTAGCTCCTTCTAACCCCCCTCCCCCCAGGCCTTCACCACCCTATTGTCTGTGTCCATGGGTTATGCATATATGCATACAAGTTTTTTGGTTGATTAAATGTCTGATTTCAGTTCTACAACAGCAATATCAATATTTACTTATTGAAATATGTTTTTATTGATTTTAGAGATAGAGGGAGAGAGAAAAACATTGACGAGGGAGGAACATCCATTGGGGATCACCCCCGACACCGGGGCATGTGCCCTGACTGGGATTCAAACTGGCGACCTCTTGGTGCATGGTCCGGTCCCCTCAACCAACTGAGCCACACCGGCTGGGCAATACCAATATTGACTTTGAAAGGTGTATTTATCTTTAAGCAGAGGACATTAACAGCTTCCAACACGGTCTCTAGGAATGATTCGCAGTTCCGAACCGTGCTTTAGGAAGACATTTCCGGCAGTCTGTGCGGGATTTATTCCTATTCCATCATTGGTGATAATGGCACTCGTGGCGGCAGGAACTTTAAACTCTTCCGCGGCGAACTTCAAGACTGCGGTGAACGGTGTACTTTCAGGAACACTGAGTACTTTGTAGGGCAGCCGCGGGTCGGACGTCAGGGTGATCTTAAAGGAAACCTTGGACATGGTGGAGCCGGCCTGGGCGGAGACGCCGACGCTCGGGGCAGTCCCACTTCCACGGGGCAGTCCCACTTCCGCCGAGGCAAGGCCTCCTCCACACTCAGCAACAGATGGCTTTAGGCTCTAAACCAGGCCTTTAGAGCTTTCTAATTGGTCTCGGTGGAACCCCCACAGAAGTATTTCCTGGTTGGTGAAAAAGAAAAAAAAAATAGTATGTATTTTCTGAAACTTTTTAAATGTAAAAGAAACGCGCGCTTCTTGTAAAAATGTTAAGGACAAGAAGTATGAGGTAAAACAATTTAGGCCTTCCCCTACCCGACGGGTACCTGGTTAACAGGTGTGCGTAGGTCCTCAGAGGTTCCTTCCAACCCTGACGATCCGCCTAAATCTCTCCCGACAAGAACCTCTAACTTTTAGAGACACCGGCCAGGCTCTCACACGTGCGATTCCCTGACTATCTAGTGCGTTTCTTTCACCCCGTTTATGTCATGTGGCCCCATATGGGAGAGTCCCGCGAACGTCAGCGCCTATGAACCTAGTGATCGGGGCGGGGGGGAAAGGGCAGGAAGGGGCCGGCATCGTCGGCTTCTTCCCAAAGAGAACTGCTGGCAGCTGCAGTCTCATTTCTGTGTCCCCGGAGGTCCCCCCAAACAAGGCCCGACCGGCCGCTCTTTAGAAACACTTACTGGACGCCCCTACGCGCCGCGCTCTCCCGCGCTTCTTGGGTACCTTTCTGCGAAGAGATGCCAATTTCTCTAGCGATCGCTCCCTCCAGGCGGCCTTTCTCGCCCACCTCTGAGGGGCAGCGCCTCCCTGCAGGGCCGG